CAGTAAGGAAACATGCTTGGGTTGCAGGCCAGGTCCCCAGTGGGGTCCACATGAGAGACAACCACACACTGATGTTTCTTTCCCTCTCTTTCTCACTCCCTTCCTTTCTCTAAAAATAAAATAAATAAACTCTTAAAAAAAAACAACAAAAGCGGAGAGAGAAACATTAAGAACACAAGTTGGTTGTGAGGTTCATGGTGGGAACTGAAAGGGAGACTACCAAGGCAGGCCAGAAGTGATCATAAAGAGAGTGCAGAATTGATTCCTTTAATCATTGTATGGCTGAAGGGTTCAAAAGGAAAAATTGAAAATGGGTTTTAGATATAATCCCCTGGCAAATGAATAGAAAAAATAAAGTGAGTTAGAGTCATAATGGAAGACAGAGCATAGGACACAAATGTTATAGTGTGTGATTGGATTCGGTAGGGCTGCCACAACAGAGTACAACACAGGGCGGCTTACACAACAGACATTTGTTCTCTTACAATTCCATAGGCTAAAAGTGCAAGATCAAGGTATTGGCAGAGCTGGTTTCTCTGGAGGCCTCTCTCTCTGATGTGTAGGTGACCATCTTCTCTGTCTTCTCTCTGTGGAGACGTGACTTCCCTTCCATGTGGCTTTGTGTCTTCTTCTTACAGGGATGCAAGTCCCATTGCATTAGGACCCACCCTAATGATTCAGATGGTTTTGATTCCAGTCCTGTGCACTTAACAATCCATGTCTTCTATCATCATGGCTGCATAGAGTCTAACCATATGATTAGACTAAAGGATTTAACATAATCGCCTCTTTAAATTCAGACCCTATCTCCAGAGACAGTTTCATTCTTAGGTCCTGGTGATTAGAACTTCAACATATGAATTTTGGCATTTTGAGGGGACACGTTTTAGCCAATAATAGTGAGCGAGGAAAGGTGATGGTGGAATTAGAACAGGTAGAGGCCAAGACGGAGAACGGGTGCTGTGGAGGCAGACTCGAGCAGCCTTTGTGGCTGACATGACAGGGGGGTCAGGGAGGAGCAAGGAAGTGTGAAAGACGTATTTTAGGGTCATGGTTTGAATACTCGGGTTGAGGCCACATTTGTTTCTCAGTCTCTCTTCATCTTCCGTATCTTTGCCTTCTAAGGAGGCATCTTCTAAAGTCACAGGTAGAGAGTGGATTTTCACCATTATTTCAAGAATGCAAAAGGCTTTAAGGTTTGAAAGGCATATGGAACTTATAGCCTAGTCCAACACCTCCATTTGGGGGATGGGCAAACTGAGGCCTAGAGTAGCGAGGTAACTTAGCAACATCTTATTAGTGCATCTGGATTTTCCCTGCACCCTTTTCAATTCTGTAGGACTAGGGCCTGGAGTCATGTTTATTCAGCTCTCAAAGACCCCTGGGCCCAACTGTGGGTGTAATTTCTCTAACCAAAATTATATAAATAGAAGTCCCCACAACTTTTGGCTATAAAAACCAGTGGGAATTGGGACTTCCACCAAGATGGAGGAGTAGGTGAAAGCACTGCACCTTCTCGCACAAACAAGTTTAAAAACAATAAAGTTTTAGCAACAAAAACACAGCCAAATGACAGAAAATTGAACTACACGGAAGTCTGACAACAATGAACCCTTCAGCCAAACAGGCAAGAGGGGCAGAGCCAACAGCAGAGTGGGGTCAGGCAGGAAAGATCCACCGGACCCACCCAGGCGTGCGACCCAGGTGCGCCAGCAGCTGTGGGTGGATCCCAGGTGTGGAGAAGCAGAGGGACCCACTGAGGGCTGATTGCGGTCACACATTCGTGCACAGATAAACCGGTGAAGGAGCGAGCAGTGAGACAGACCGTGCAGGCCCCAGCAGCAGGAAGCAGCAGAGGGAACTGCTTTATCCCCTCTCTGACCCCGCCCCCACACACAGCATCACAAACCAGCAACCTGGGTGGCCCCGCCCTGGTGAACAACTAAGGCTCTGCTCCTCATACCTAACAGGCACGAACAGATCAAAACATGGCTCAAGAACAACTCAGAGCCCCAGAGCCAATAAATCTAAGCAATGAAGAAATAGCCAAATTTTCAGATGCACAGTTCAAAACACTGGTGATCAGGATCCTCACAGAACTGGTTGATTTTAGTCACAAATTAGAGGAACACATGAAGGCTAAACTAATTGAAATGAAGGGAAATACACAGGAAACCAATAGTAATGGAAAGGAAACTGGGACTCAAATCAAAGGAGTGGACCAGAAGGAGGAAAAAAATGACCAAACAGAAAAGGCTGAAGAAACAAGAATTCAAAAAAATGAGGAGAGGCTAAGGAACCTTCAGGACATCTTTAAACATTCCAACATTCAAATTATAGGGGTACCAGAGGGGGAAAAGGAACAGCCACAAGTGGAAAACTTATCTGAACAAGTAATAAAGGAGAACTTCTCCAATATGGCAAAGGAAATAGACTTCCAGGAAATCCAGGAAGCACAGAGAGTCCCAAAGAAGTTGGACCCAAGAAGGAACACACCAAGACACATCATAATTACATTAGCCAAGATGAAAATGAAGGAGAGAATCCTAGAAGCAGCAAGAGCTAAGGGGACAGTCACCTACAAAGGAGTTCCCATCAGACTGTCAGCAGATTTCTCAAAAGAGACCTTACAGGCAAGAAGGGGCTGGAAAGGGGTATTCCAAGTCATGAAATCCAAAGACCTACATCCAAGATTGCTCTATCCAGCAAAGCTTTCATTTAGAATGGAAGGGCAGATAAAGTGCTTCTCAGATAAGATCAAATTCAAGGAGTTCATCATCACCAAGCCCTTATTATATGAAATGTTAAAGGGACTTACCTAAGAAAAAGAAGATAAAAAAGATGAAGTGAAAGGACAGCAAACTCACAGTTATTAAGAACCACACCTAAAACAAAAGCAAACTAAGAGGACAGCTAGATCAGGAGCAGAATCATAGAAATGAAGATTACATGGAGGGTTAGCAACAGGGGAGTGGGAGAAGAAGAAGGGGGGAGAAGGTACAGAGAATAAGTAGCACAGACAGTGTATAGAAAATAGATAGGGGGGAGGGCAAGAATAGTAGGGGAAATATAGAATCTAAAGAACTTGAGACACATGGTCATAAACTAAAGAGGGGGAATGGTGGGGGAGGGGTGTGCAGGTGGAGAGGAATGAAGGGAGGAATAGAACAACTGTAATGGCATAATTAATAAAATATATTTCTAAAAAATTATATAAACACTCTCGGTACAGGAACAGGAAGCTGCTAAGGACTTTCTGCACCCCCTGATGTGGTCTGGGTTGATGCTAAAGTATTAACGGGAGTCACAGTGTCTAGGTAATCCGAGATCCTGACTGATCCACTCTCTACGTGTCCCAAACACATCCTTTTAGTTTTGGGATGGAAATGTTACTTCATAGTACTGCAGTGGGGAAAATGAGAGAATTAATGTGAAAGTATTTTGAGTGGTGGGTTAAAGGGTAAGGTGTTGCCATTATTGTGACGACTGTACCTTGTCTTTCAACCATGTTGTCTAGATAATTGTGTCAATAGGGGCTAGAGATAATTTTCAACTTTAGACATGACCAGCCTTGGCCTCTGAACTAAGTCTATCTGCTGAGTGGAAACAACTTCCTCCTTCACTGCAACTCAGAATAATTTGTATTTGTGCCTGGATATACCAGTTGGTTCTGGGCTTGTTACATATTTTAACCACAAGGAGGCTCACCAAGCTTTTCCCTTTCACACACCTTCCCCGTTCAGGAAGTGCCTTCTGGGGAGGAAGAGCACAGGGAAGCTTTTCTTACTGCACTGTCGTTTTCTACTTGGAGGAAGCACAACTCCTGAACTCGGGCACCGTGGGCTCAAAGTCCTGCCACTGACCTAGTGGTCTGTGCCTTTGGGGCGATTCATTTAAAGGCTACAAAGTTTAGTTTCCTCTTCTGGAAAAGGAACATACACACCTTTGTTTTCCTGTGCTTCGCTTTATCCTGTGTGCCTCACAGATATGGTTTATTTTATGTTTTTTTTCTGACGGAGGCTCCATAGTAACCACCAGCAAAATAATGATGACTTCCTGAAGGTTCAGATAATGGTTAGCATTATTTTTAGTAGTAAAGTGTTTTTTTAATTAAGGTTTTTTAGATGTAATATTATTGAACAATTAATAGGCTACAGTATAGTGTAAACATAACTTTTATATGCACTGGGAAACCAAAACGTCTGTTTCGCTTTTTGCAGAATCTACCTTGGTTAGGTGGTGTGGAACGGAACCTGCAGCATCTCTGAGGTGTGCCCTTAGTTTTGCCTCATGAAGCAGTTGTTATGACAAAATGAGGTTGTGTATGTTAAGTGCTTAGGACAAGGCCTTGCGCACAGAAAGTTCTCAGCAACTGTTGAGGGTTTTTGTTCGGTTTTTACTATGTTTCCCTTCCATTTGGTTGGGGTGGAAATGGTTGCCCCCGGTCAGAAGGCATGGCAATCTTTGGACAGCAAAGTACGACTAGGAGATTAAGGTAAGGGATTAAATTCTAAGAGTAAGACCACAAGACAGAGCCTTGGGCTAACCCTTGAGCTAAACAGGCAAAGAGAGCCTCTGGATCACACTAGCCTAGCTCAACAACCCAGGGTGAGGCATTAGACGCAGATGAGGGGCCAAGGTGGGGTTCGAGTTAGTGTGGAAAACTTCCCCAGCCAGAGACCTCATGGCACATAATCAGAGGCTTAGGAATTCAGTATCCAGACCCTATAAAACTGTCTTACTGTGAGAACCAATACTATCAGACATATCCTGGGACAATCTAGAGATATTAAGCTACCCAGGACTAGAGAGATGAGATAGTGTGATAGCTAGCATGAGCATATTTTTCTTTAATGAACTGTGGGAATACCCAGCAGGTATCTAAAATCTAAGAAGCATGCAGGTGCCCCAGAGAGTCATTTCACTTGCACGTTATAAAGTCTGTTGACATTCTTTCCTCACGCGTCTTAAAGAGATAGTTGTACTGGCCATAGTCTTACGTATCATCTCTTGTTTCTTGAGAACACTTGATGATTTTGGCTTTATTAGAGGGATGCAGCAAATTTTTTTTCCTATACATTTTTCTTTCTCTTTCTCATTTTCTTTGCAAGCTGTCCTGCATTGGCCAGTACTGTAATCGCACCTGTGGACCCATCCATCTATCAAAATAAACAGAGATGAATAAACAAACACACAAAAAAAGAATTAAGACTATTATCCTAAGGGTGTTGGTCACTGTAGTGATAATGGTGCATGTAGAATGCTTACTGCTGGTCTCAAACTGCACTAGATACGAGTGGTTATCTCTCTTCCTCCCACTGGACTTTATGCCTGTGTTTATGATGTTCCCACTTCCAAAATTTTTCACAGGCTCAACAACCCTGGTTTCTCCTTGTCTCCAAATACAGGTGCTTGCCAGGGAGTGGACCTACACCTTCAGTTCCCCATCCCCCCATTCATTATTCACTCATCGGTGATTTGTTGGGCACTTGCCATGCGCCAGGCATTGTTCTGGTGCTCCAGATGACGCCTAGAACAGGACTTTGAGCACTGAACGATCAATTTATATTGCTGACTTGTAGGCTAATGTTCTCGATGCTATAACACTGCCCTTATATGATTTATCATTTCTGACTTAGCCCTACCTAGGTCAATAAAATACAGAGTGCAGACCCCGCTTCCCCAGCACATTGGATTCAATTGAGAGATCAGAGTATCTTGGTTTAAATTACACATTCCCTCTACTTGATTTTTCCCCAGACTCTACTCCTGGTAGGGAGTTTCCAATTCTCTCTTTCTCACCAGGCTGTTCAGACTGGAAAAATCAAAGTCGAGATGACTCTGGTTCTGTCAGTCAATGTGCAGACTCGTTCTCCAACGTGTCTTTTGCATCTGCAACTCCCTCCTCTGAGTTGCTTTCGCCAGAGTTGAAGGCAGGCTGAAATCAACCCAAGGTTAGTCCAGCGTTACCTTCTTCTGCTTCTAGAGCAACTGAGTGGTTGGCAAAGACTTTCAGTTTGAAAATCTGATCCAAGAGAAGATGCAACTTCCAACAGCAATGACCAAAAGGAAAACCACAGAATTAAACATCGTAAACTTTAGAAGCACCAGGAAGCCTAAGTGGAAACATTTCCATTAGAAAGTTATTCACCACTTGGCCAGGAAGCCTGTTGTGTTGTGAGATAGCTCTGGCCATGTTTCATTTGGTATCCAGAATCTTCTGCCCTAACTCCAGCACTACCTTAAAACCATAGGTATCCAACATCAACCTACATATTTTTCACTGTATACTCAAAGGCAAGAGCAAGATCCCTCCTCTGATTGCTCTAAAGGAGCATCCAAAGCCAAACAAGAATGGAGAGGTAAAATAATGGGACTGGTTCCTGCAAGAGGTGCTATCAATAGGAAGTGAAATTGAAGTGGAAGGTGCGTGGGATGAGATTCTGTTGACATCTGGGCCAAGGATATTAAGAACACTTAAGGATGTTGGGGTCACTTCTGCATATAGAAGGACTTCATACAAGACACCCTGGTTTCTGCTGATATTCACCAGGTTCCCTGATGAGAAGCACCATCATGGTGGAGGGCGACAGACTGCCCTTATTAATGGAGCATATTCATTATAAGGCTTCTCACCGAATCTCAGCCATGCCTGTGAGCTGTGCTCACTTTCACACGTGTTCAGTTTCCCGGTGATTCTACGAGCAAGACCCTGTTCTTACTCCCTTTCCCCTCCTCTCCACAGTCTGGTTACCTGGGGAAGCCTGAGGCAGGACCACAAGGACAGCTAGGGCCAGGAGCAAGAATTTAACGTATCCTGAGGGGGGCGAGGAAAGATCCAGCAGCATACTGAATGTGCTAGGGAAGGCAGGTCTTCACTCTGCATTTTATTGCCTTGGGTAGCGCTGAGTCATGGGCAATAAATCAGAGAAGAGCAGAGTGTTCCACCACGCAGAACATCAACCTGCGGGTCAGCGATACAAATCAGTCATCTAATGCTTAGAGTCCTTCTCTACACGTCATCTGGGAGCGTGGACAGCATCAGCAGAAGGTGCACAAGGCCTGCACAAGTTGTGACATTGTGAAGAGAATGGGTCCACTTTCTTTTTTTTCCCCCTTATTTTTATTGTTGACACTAATACAGATGTCCCCATTTTCTCCCACTTTAAACTCCTCCACCTATTCCCACCCCCTTGCCTCTGGCCATCTCCACACCCTTGTCTGTGTCTGTGAATTATGCATATGTGTCCTTTGGCCTATACCTTCACCTTCTTTCATCTGTTCCCCCCTTGTACTCTGAGAGCTGTCAGTCTGTTCCATGTGCCCATGCCTCTGTTTCCCTTTTGTTCATCAGTCTATTTTGTTCACTAGATTCCACATATGAGTGAGATCTTATGATATTGTCTTTCTCTTACTGAGAATAATAATCTCAGTGCAATAATCTCCCGGAGAATGGACCACTTTCCAAGGAGATTTCTTGCTCCTCTTCTTGGGTATTTAACTCTCTCCCTTATGTTCTCACACCCTCTCTCCATCCTTCTTTCTGCCATAATATTTATCAGGATGAGCTGGAACTAAGTATTTTTCTCCCCTATAGGGCCAACACCATTGAGGGCAACTTTTAATAGACAGAGAGACCCCTGGAGGCCGGGATTTCTGTCACCCAGGGCGTGCAGAGAACCTTTGTTGAAAACAGCGAATGGATGAATGCGTGTATAGTAGTCACTTGTATCTTGATGGAGCTGAGAATTGGCATTTCTCGGTTAACAAAAAGCAGGCCCAGAGAATGAAAAAGAATTGTCTAGGGTCACACTGCTGGCCAGAAAAAAACAGACAGAGAGCCCTCATAACCCGAGTCCTAGTCCAGCTCTTTCTAACTCTGTGTTGTCCTCCTTTTCTCCTACTCCAGCTCTTTAATATTAGCTGCTTCTGGGTCTTTCTTGGACTCCAGCCTCAAAGGACAGAACAGAAACCTTTCGGGCGGGTTCCCTAACAAAGGCGGCATGGAAGGGGGCACCGCCGGGGCTCCAACAGGAGGCCGGAGTCCTCTGGACTTCCCTTTCTGGTCCTTGGTCTGTCTTGTAGTTACTTTACACCTTTCGGCAGCTCCAGCGCTCTTCTTTTCTACTTGCTTCTTCCTACATTTGGCAAGTATGTCCCTACATTAGGGACGGCTGGATGGGATTGAGAAAACCTTTTTACACTTGATATCCAGTAGTACCTTCTCCAGAACAGCAGTGAGCACGCGGCCAGGCACTGAACGCTCCCATACGTGACCCCCAGAATCCTCGCAAGGCCTCTGATAGGCAGATGTGATTTGCTCAGGGTGACACCGCGCTTAGGGATGATTTCCGGATTCAGATCTGGTTTACCTGTCCTCAGAGCGCCTCTTCTGTCACCCCAGAGGTCTATGCCTGAGTAATGACGGAAAGGAAGGCCTGTTTAACCAGAAAAGCAGTGCTGGGCTGCAGAGAGTTGTAGTCCCTATCTTCCGAAAGGCGTGTTCTGCACACGCCTAGAGGGCAGAACGAAAAGTCTTGGGTGGAAATTGCACCCGGACAGGTTTATGCTAATTGGAAAGAACTCGGATAACCAGAACCATCTGGAAATGGCTGGGCCGTCTGAGAGAAGCGGTGGCTCCCTGTGTCCCAGTGCTCCAGACTGAGCCCACGGGATCATTTCTCTCAGATTCTCCAGGGAGGACTGCTGAGTTGGCTGAAGAGGAGTCTGTGCCCCAAGGACACAGTGCCTGGCGCTGGGTCTAAGAGGAGGAGAAAGAAAGTCCTGCGGTTCTGGTCAGGGAGAAAGACAACAAACCTAAAAGGCCAGGTGGTAGCAGTGCTATAAACAAAAACAGGCCTTAGCCAATGTGGCTCAGTGCATGGAGTACCTACCTATGGACCAGAAGGCCACAGGTTCGATTCCCAGTTAGGACACACAACTGAGTTGTGGAACAGGTTCTTGGTTGGGGATGTGCGAGAGGCAACCACACATTGATGTTTCTCTTCCTCTCTCTCCAAAAATAAGTAAAATCTTTTTTAAGAAAAAGGTAAGGGACAGAGAATAATATGGGGTGTGTGTGTGTGTGTGTGTGTGTGTGTGTATCTATTTTGAACAGATTACTCAAAATGGACTCTCTGAGGAAGTGGCATTGGGTAGAAACTTAAATGATGTGCTGAGGAAGGTAGCCAGCCACATGGGTATCTAGACTCTTGCAGGCAGTGAGAGCAGCAAGAGCAAGGGCTCTGAGGAAGGAAAGTTCTCGGTATCCCAGGAAGAGCCAAAGTCAAGTGTGTCTGGAAGAGAGTGAGTGAGGGAACGAATCAAAGGAACTTACAGCACAGAGGCCGCAGAGCCACCTCAAGTCAGGTCTTACGGGGTCCTAACAAGGACTTTGGAGTTTATTTGCTATGCAATAATTGTATTCTACACCTTGAGAGCCCTTCAAATATGAGCGTTTGCCTTAGCCTTTTTGTCTATAAGGCATCACTTTCTTCATCTGTCAGGTCAAGCATCTGGGCTAAAGTAGAGTTTCCTGAAACATGTGACCCTTGTCCCTGGTGGTATGAGTGATGATTTAGATGGCAAAATAAGTACATATTTTTAAGTATTTTAAAAAATATTTTATTTATTTATCTTTAGAGGGGAAGGGAAGGAGAGAGGGAGAGAAACATCAATGTTCAGTTGCCTCTCGTGCGTCCCCTGATGGGAACTGGCCTGCAACCCAGGCATGTGCCCTGACTGGGAATTGAACCTCGATCCTTTGGTTCACAGGCCCGCACTCAAGCCATTGACCTACACCAGCCAGGGTATAAGTACATATTTTTAATAATTTTTATCTTAATCCTCATTTGAGAAAATAATATCACTAGCCCTTGGTGTGTTGAATTTACAAACAGGTTCACTTGAGTTATGGCCAAATATGGGTTTTAGTACATGGAATGTGTTCTATAAAAATATTAAGCAAATGATACTATAGCTTATCAATGATTTGGTAAAAAGTTTGCAAGATAATACACAAATGGCTAAATTTTGTGCTAGAAAATTGATAATCCGACTCCAAATCCGCTGCTCTGGCACCAGGGAATACTGCCTCACCAAACACATAAATCTTCTGCTAGCAACTGTGTCTTTTTCTGTTTATTTTGTTAACTTTTTATTTTGAAATTACCATAGACTAACAGGAGGTTGCAAAGAGCGTGAAGAAATCCTGTGTCTGCTCTACCCACTTTCTCCAAATGTCCCATTTTGAACAACCACAGTACAGTGTCAGAACAAGAAAAACGAGCTCGGTACAACGCTGAGGTGTCCTCTGCGTCATCTGAGCACAGGTGTGGATACAATGTTAGCAATCGACACGCAGGACTCTTCCACCACCACTGAGATTTCCCCTGTGCTAACCCTCTGCAGTCACACTAGCCTCTACTTCCCAGCGTCCCTACCCCCGGCCACTAACAATTTGCTCTCTATCCCTCTAATTTTGTCATTTCGAGAACTTTTTCTAAATTTAATCATGCAGTGTGCGAGATCACTGCGCCCATCAACAGCGCGGTCCTCTCACTGCTGCACAGCCTCCCATGCGATGGGTGTAGCGAAGGTCATTAACCGTTAACACATCGGAGAGCCTTTTGGTTGATGTGGGTTGTTACAAATACACCTGCTACGAACACTTGTGTGCAGGTTTTTCTGTGATCATAAGTTTTCATTTCTCTAGATAGATGCCTAGGGGTGTTATTTCTGGATGGTAAGATGTTTGTAAGTTAAGATTTTTTAAAAATTGTCCAACTATTCTTCAGAGTACCCACACCTTTTAACATTCTTGCCACGCATGTATGAGACAGTCATCTCATCAGCATTTGGTATTATTATGGGTTTTTTAATTTAATTTAATTGTTGTTCAAGTACACTTTTCTGTCTTTTACTCCCATCCCGGCCCACCTCCCAGCCCTCCCCACCTCCCTCCCATTTCCACCCCCCCTAGTTTTTGTCCATGTGTCCTTTATACTTGTTCCTGGAAACTCTTCCCCTTTTCCCCTGAAATCCCCTCCCCTCTCCCCTCTGGTCACTGTCAGCCTGTTTTCTATTGTTATGGTTTTTAACTCTAGGTGTTCTAAGGGCTATGTGATTATATCTCACCCTGGTCTTCGTTTTCATTTCCCTCATTGCTAGGAATGTCGAACATCTTTACAGCTACGTATTTGCCTCATGTGTCCACTTTGGTGAAATGTCTGTTCATTTGCCCCTTTACTTTTTAAAAAAGATTTGTTTGTTTACTTATTTATTTTTAGGGATAGAGGAAGGGAGGGAGGAAGAAAGGGAGAGAAACATCTGCGTACAAGAGAAGCATCAATTGGGTGCCTGTCCCACACTCCCAGCTGGGGTCCTGGCCCGCAACCCAGGCATGTGCCCTGACTGGGAATCAAACCAGGGACCTTTCGGTTCACAGGCTGGCCCTCAATCCACTGAGCCACGTCATCCAGGACTTGCCTGTTTTCTAAGTGAATTATTTGGTTTTAATTTTTTGAATTTTGAATTCTGAGAGTTCAGAATTTTCGAATGTTGAGAGTTCTTTATATTTCAGTTCTTTGTTGGATATGTAGTTTACAAATAATCTGTCTATATTTGTTCTTTGAATCCTTTTTTACTCATTACCTCTTTTTTGGGTTTTTTTTGTGGTGAAAGTACTTAATATAGTTAAGTACTTAATAATAGTCATGTTGTGTAACAGACCTGCAGAACCTTTTCATCTTGCACAACTGAAACTTAACACCCCTGACGGGCACCTGCCCATTCCCCCTGCACGCAGCCCCTGGTAACCACGGCGTGCTCTCTGCTTCTGTGAGTCTGA